ACCAGATGAATTTTTACAAGTGCTTTTATCTACAACACCCTGTACTGTAGGAATGAAGAAATAGATTGATACAAGGCATGATAAATATATAACACATTTTAAGTAAAATGTTTGTCTTTGTGGAGTTGTACAGGTAATACAGCCAGCAATAATTTTATTGTTTTTTTTTTTTTTTTTACAAAAGTTTTTTTTCATATGAAGCACTTCAGATCATACGAATATTTAAAAAAAAAATCTAATGAAGGTTAATAGTGGCATTGAATTTGCAATGTAAATTAATTGTAAATTAATCCATATATAGAAGCCAAAACAAAACCACGTTATTCTGAGCTGATTTTTTAAAATGTAAAAAATAAAATTCTTTTGATATTTGTAATTTGAAATTTTTCATATATTATCATCGATCAAGCACTGCTGATTATGAAATTTTTAATAAAAAATTATTTTTTTTTTACATTTTAAGAAATCATTAAAAAAAATATATGAACATATTTGTTTTGACTTCTGTAGTGTAGAGATCAATTTACATACCAAACTGCCTCCCACCATCATTATTTTTTATAAAATTTAGCAATTAGATATATAGACTGTTTGATTTATAATTGGTTGTAGTGCCTATTACACAACTCCATTGATCTTTGTCCTGTAAAAGTGGAAGTGAGATAAGTTTAGACATGATAATCAGCCTTCTAATTAACTTGGTTTTAACTTGCATTAATGATGACAACATATTCTCAGGGATCTAACCAAGAATTACTGACAGAGACAATTGTAAAAGGATGGAGAATACTTGGTAGCTGAAAAGTGATTAAAAACAAGGAAATTGATCTGAAATAATCTATGAATCATATTAACGACACTGTTTCTCAGAAATTGAGACAGAAAGACGGCCAGTACTACTGCAGAAACATTGAGATAAAAATAAATCAAATATTAGAAAACTGGTCCAAAGAAATCGGGGTTTAAAATTCTAGCTTTTGTATTATTTTTACGGGTGTAAGGTGTGGCAAAAATACCTCCCACATTAGCTTGAAGAAGATACCATTGCCACTAATGTGTTACCATTATGTGGGAGGTATATGTGGGTGGTATTTCTGTCACATTCTGTAACTTGGTGCCAAAACAAGGTCAGAATTGTCTTCAGCATATTGAGAATAGGAAATGGTGATAGGGAAGCTTTCTTTTAAATTGCAAACTTCAGCCTTTTGATTCAAACCAGCTGGAATGAGTGAATCTTCAACAAGATGATTAATCTTTGTTATTGAGAATTGCACTTTGATCTACTGATAAATTTGCCTCTGTTTTTTTGTTTTTTTTGTTTTGTCAGACCTACTTCATCCTAACCTCTTTTAGAAAATTCATGAAATGTTGGGCAGCATTTTCACTTTGTTGTTATTGTTCATCTTGTTTTCAAAAAAAAAAAAAAAAATCATTAGTATTTTAGTTTGTATAGTTGAACTCCTTCTTTGTGGTGCTGGTATTATCAAAAATTTTTTAGCTTATCTATTTTCTAGCCATTTTCAGGTGCCAAGAAAGCGTGATTTTTCTTGTGGTTTATCAACAACAGATTTGCTTAAACAAATCTTGAAAGGAAAAAAAAAATTGTTCTTGAATTTGTTCAGTTTTTATGATTTAACATTCTCTCTTTTCTCTCTTTCACATGCATGCACACACACACACACACACGCAAAAGACATTTGTTGTCTGCTATATTTAACAATATATGTTCGAATAATGATCTACTGCCCTAATATATATATATATATATATATGTGGTAAAAGGTTTGTCACTTAGCTGATTGATGTTACCTCCAGCATCTCGTCCCCAGAGTTTTGTAGGTGGACCCATCTATCCGCTCATCAGAGGTGTCACCAATTGACTGCTTATACTTCAGTTTTCTTTATTTGCCTCTTTCATTGGTGCAAGTTTTTTTTTTTCCTTTCATAGTATATATGTATGTGTGTGTTCATGCGTGTGTGCCTAGAATGTCATGTTTGTTTGTCTTTTTCATTTTTTTTATATTTTTTTTTTTACTTTACACTCATTGCTTAACCTTTTCTTTCTTTTTCCTATTTTCTTTCACTTGTTACCATTTGACCTTCTGGATAAATTCATAATGTGTTTTGTGTTTGCCATCTTTGTGCCAGAGGTTTTAAAAGTTGATCGATTTGAAAGAGCTATATTTGTTCAAGGCACAAATCTTGCAATGTTATCTTGTGATGGGCATATCCAATGGCAAGGTGGCAGGCATCATTATAACACACAATAAAAAAAAAAAATAACAGTTATAAAAGTATTATGTAAACATGATGTTATCAGTTGGTTATAGTTAACTAAGTCTTATCTCCAAAAAGTGGCTTTCTGTCTGTGTGTCCAATATGTTTAATTGGAATGGTCAGTCATTGTTAACAATGTAGCTGCTGCTTAAGTGAGGTTGTTACACAAAACTCATATATTCAACAGCTTAATCATCACTTATTCTTTTTCTTTGTCATCCAAATTGTCACCATTGTCATTTCTGGTATGGGTACATGGTCATGAGGTTAGAATGTTAGCATTCTGATCATGTGACCCCCTAGGTTTGAATCTCACCATGTTTCATTTGTGACTTTTCAATAATACCAGAATGTGGAGATGATTCCAAGGCACCAGTAAAAAATGCCCGAAAATCCTGGCCTTGTGTACAAAATTGATTAGAGGAACCTGTTTGGAAGCCGTTGATAGATGTGCTTACATGACATGACAAGTCATCGTGACTGAGTGTTTGAACATATCAACCTTCTGTAAACTTTATATATGTCAGATTATGCAGCCAGAAACTATGGTTCACTTAGCGTAGATGCAGTATAAATGACAGGTTGGTTCCAGAGGTGTTTAAGCACATATATCTGCAAGAGGGGGTTATCTATCCCCTCCATATCAGATAAGCATATTCAGATATGCACAGCCAGCTATACATATCTTGCAATGAGACAAAACAGGAAAAAGTGGATTTGTCTTTCCCAAGTGTAAAATGTGAAACAACTTTAGTCAAAAATTGAACTGTGTTTGCCACTTACATTTTGCATGAAGTGAAAACTTCCTCATCAGAAGTTTGTGTCTATTATATTGTTGTGGCCTTGTTAGGGGCCAGAAATAAAGACACAAAGAGAGGAATTGAGTTAAACAAATATATTAACAGAAACAGTAATACAAACAAGAGTGTTACAGCAAGAAATGTTTGGTCCGACTATCAGAGCTGACTGCTAGAAACTTCCCTCTCACAAAAGGCAGTACCTGCTCCTAATTATAGCTGGGTGAGTCCATGTGTGCATGGGTAAATTACTATAACACATGTTTAGACTAATATAGATAACTAGCCTATTGAATCTATCAGCTTACTGTTACAATATTGTGGTATCTTATCACCAAAAAATGAATTATAGAGACTAATAATGAATATTTATCCTGGCGGCCCCACAGGGATGTGATGTGACACAAGGTCTGGTTTAATGTGGGGAACCCGAGCGTGTACACTCAGGCCAAGAACAAAAATTCCCCAAGCTCCTGCAACTGTTGCTTGCACTGGTCTCGGTGGGAGCACCGATCCCTCTCTTTAGTGCTATGAGAGGGTGCAGGCTTGTGCATCTGTTTCCCAGAGTTCCTCAGTTGTGCTGCTGTCCATCGACTGAGCACTAACCAAGTCACATTCTGCCAAAAACAGAGACGTAACTGAGAGATGATAAAAACTTACCTGGCATGTGTCAGGTAAGTATTAGAGACTAATAATTAAGTAGAATAAGTAAGTCTGTTTATATGAGCAACTTTGTACTGGCCATTTGCTGTTCTTCCCTATTGATTTATTCTGTTACAAAGCAGTGATGAAACAGTGAAATTTACCCAAAATGTCCTGTGACAATTTATTATCAAGTAGGATCAGGTTTCAGGTTACAACTGCTTAAAATAACTGGCAGAGTAACTAAGCCAACTACTTGTAATGATAACCCATTAAAGTTGAATAATAATCATTTGTTTAATCCAAGGCAACATTTTCTTTTATGATGATTTGATGATGGAAGTGAAAGAATATTTTACTATTTCATATGTTAAAATAAAATTGGACGACTTTACACTGATAGTTTACTTATTTATTTGTAATTATAATGATCGTGTTGATAATTATTATTTTAAAGTATACAGGATTTTTTTAAAAGTTGCTAAATGACAAGATTGTGTGCTAAATTGTTGTCATATTTAATGTAATAAAGATTTTAGTGGTAGATCATTTAAGGACAAAATGTGAGGCTATATAGGATTGGTTTTGTTTGATACCATAAATTTTAGTGAACTAATCACTTGTTTTAAGCAAAATTTTCATTATTGATAAATTGTCAACTAGATTATTTCTATAGCTTAGTGATAGAACAAACTTGTGCCAGAGACATTATTTACATTGTTTGAACCATTGTCCTCATCTTTATTGCCATATTCACAGATACAGACAGATATTGTACCAGAGCGGTTCAGACTTTGAAAATCAAATGTGTTGATGGTTAAAGTTATTATAATGAATTTATGGCAGGGAAAGAAAAACATTTTTCTTTTTTTTTTTTATAGACGTTCTTTTATAGGTCAGTTTATTAATATTAGTTATGAATAATATGAAGCAACTCACTTTGGAGAAAGAAAACTTTAGTCTTTAGTGCAAAGGATCTTTTCTTCTTGTAGCTGATGTACCTGTCAAATCTACGTGTCATTACCTTGTTTTTATAATAAATAGAACCTGCTTGTTTTAAAATACTTCAAATAAATTCCAGTGTTTAATTCATCCTTTAGATGAAATCAATTGGGAGGGGGGAATTTTAGATCATATTAAATAATTTGAAATTGGGGTCTTTTTTCAAAATATCTCTGTGTACTTGTCTATGTCAAATATTACTTGTCTTGTGACTTTCTACACTGGAACTATGATGATTGTTCTACAAAGAAGAATGTCTTTCCTCCTCCTCCTCCTCCTCAGTTGAAGACACATTGGAAACCAGCATATCCAGTCCCTCAGTTGATGGAAATGGTGACCTGATGCCTTCATCTATCACTTCATCCAGCTTCTTCAACAATGGTTTCTTCAACCCTGCAAAGGATTTCTTAGTTTCTTGTAAGAATGACATATTCAATTGTGCCATTTATCCGTAAATTTCGCATTTTGTTTTCTGTTTGTTTTTTTTTTTTTTTTTTTTTTTTTGCCTGAATTGGAAGCCATGTTTGTTAGTCACTGCTTCTTGGCAAAATGGTCTGCCTTAAAAAATACTTTGGTATCAACAGTTTTATAAGGAATTGGGCTGTTATTTTATAATTGACCACATTAATCTTAAACCTTGAACATAATTTGGGGATGGTATATTTATTTTTAATATTAAAAAAAACTTTGATTGGCCTCATTAAATCTTGAGTAATTTTACCAACCATTCACATACAAAACTCGTATATGAAAGCCTGAATTATAATTTCATGGGTTTCTGGTTCAAATTTTACTGTTATCATCTCTCTTTTCAGTTATTCCATCTTTTTAAAGTTCCTTACCTGGGGAATGTGTACAATTAATTCATTATTTATATAATTTGACTGAAATTGTTTTAGACACCTTAAAGAAATCTAGAAGTCATACAGATTATTCTGTTAAAACAAACATATTTGGTTTATTTATTGACTTATTTTGTTTTACCACATACCAACGCCTTGATAGGTTATTTAATACTGACAAGATTTTTAGAATAGGTTCATATGAATAGACTGTTACTATTTTTTTTTTTAATGGTATTTTTACTATAATAATCCATTTCTACACCTTCATAGTGCTTTGAACCTAGTTTTGTGAATTATTTGTCCATATCTGGGATCCTAACAGGTGCTGCCACTCCGGGTCAGGATGAAGCTGGGAACAACAGCAATTAAGAGGTGGTTCCATGCTCCTCAAAACCTTCAATCACCTGATCAGAGGACTTGCTGCTGGATGTAGTTTATCATCATACCCAGGATGCCAAACATATTTGGTTTCATTTTTTAGCAAATTTTGTGGCTGGTAAGCTTAATAATAGTTTCCTTTCTAAGGAAGTGTAGAATTTCTGTTTGAATTTCTGGGATGAGAAGTTAGCAATATTTACATTATTTATATTCTGACTATTGTCCTCATCTTTGTTGTTGTTAATACAATGTTTTGACTGTTGTACCCTTCAGCTTTCCTCAGGTGTATATCAATCTGGGTAATCTACAGGGAATCTATATTAACTGCACCCTTTATTTAATCTACTGGAATAGGCTATTCTTATTCCACTGCTTGTGTCGAGAGATATTGTCTAGTTTTTATTTTTATTTAGTACTGCTCAGTTATTGCTCACCCGTTTCTACTAAGTGTAAGTACAAACTGTCTGACTGAGAGATTGAACTCACAATCACTGTCACTAAATTGACAAATCATTTCTTTAATCCACTAAGCTATCATGTTGTAGGTTACCCAGATTGATTTACACCTGAGGAAAACAGGATGTCATAATAGGCGAAATCTTCTGATAACGACAACATAAGAGATGAGGACAGTAGTCTGAATATAAATAGTGTGTGTGTGTGTATATATATATATATATATATATATATATATATATATATATATATATATATATATATATTATGATAAATCAAGAAAAACCTTAAAAATCCATCTTGGTTATAATTTATTTCCTGAATATTTTTATATTCACTTCTTCAGAATGAAAGTTTTTTTTTTTTTTTTTTTTTTTTTTTTTTAGAAACTGACTCAATCCATCTAGATACATATATTGGGATAAAAACAAGAAATGGAAAACAGAAGAAAGAAAAAAAAAATAATAAAAAAAAAAAGGAAGAAAATTAAAAAATTACAAATATAAAAAAGTTTTTAAAAATTAAGGGAAGAAAGAAAGAAAGAGTTGGGGGAGAGAGAGAGAGGATGAGAATAAAATAAAAAATAGAACGAGAGAGAGAGGGAGAGGGACAAAGGAAAGAAGGAAGAAATAAATGATGAGCCAATAGCAAAAATAAAACAGAATGACTTAGAAAAAAATTTTTCATTAAAGGGCTGAACAAGTTAATGCATCAGGTAAGGGAGATGGTGATCAGAAGTAAAGGAGTTATAGCAAATTGTCTAATATTTTTTTTCTCCTTTTTCTCCTGATATATCTCTCAGGATAGATTGATTCCATTTCTAAAAAATTTTTGGTCTGAAGAGATGAATATAAGAATATGAAATAAATTATAACCGAGATAGTTTTTTAAGGTTATTCTTGATTTATTATTATATTGCTCTGTAATTTACATTGAGTTCTCTTTGGATTAATGTCCTCCCTTGGAATTATACCTAACAATTTCAAATTGGTATTTTATATATATATATATTTTTTTTTTTAAAGATCAATCATTTCAGAATATGAAGACTAAGCATCATTAAAATAATTTGGTTGTGATTTTTAATTTGATTGATATTCAGTTACTTAATCAACATATTACCAATTAACACATTTAATAGAATATGAGAAATTGCTATTTACATACTATCAAATAGTTTTTATTATTTTTTTCACAATACTCTGATAGTTTAATGTATTCATCTGAACATTTTGTCATTGATCCATAGATACAAAAAAAAAGGAAATTAAATTTAGTCAATGGAAATTGGTAAGTTAATTATATCTTTCTTCAGTTCAGTCACTTTATTAGCCTTGGTATTAGTGGAAATTATAATGTATTACATGTGTGTTGATTCCTTGGGTATAAGATGAATTTAGGCTAAATTTAGAAGAAATCACTTTTTATATCTGTGGAGAGTTTATTTTTTTGCTTATTCTCCTGCAATCTCATTCTTTTATGTCTAAAAATTCATAGAATTCCACTCTACAAATGATTTCTTAGAATCCTGCTGATAACAAAGATCTGCAACCATTAATAAAAATCTTTTTTTAAGGAGGTGCTGAAAAGTTCTTGGCCTCACCTGCTTTCTAAAATCTGACCAAATTTTTTCAAAAAGCCTCTTGGTTAAGCTGAAAACTTTTCAGCACTCTTATGTTAAAATTACTACACAATCTGAGTCGGCCATATTCTTCAATTTCTTCTCAAATGTTTAGTAATTTATGCAATTAATGCTTTATCTAAACCACAACAATTTTACAATAAAAACCATCGTCATAAACATAATAATGACAATAATGCTATCAATGTACATTGCTAAAATAAAAAAAGATGAAACAGCAATAAAAAACATCATACATAGATATATAAAACCAGTTGATAAAAACAATTGTTTACTTCAAAGAATTCAAAACTATTAACCTTGTTATTAAAAATAATATATCCTAAACTTCCAACTCCATATATAAGACTAACATTGTGTTCAGAGAATGTTTTCTATAAATAAAAAACAAAACAAAATGTCTTACATAGGATATACCACATTCTTACAGCGACTCACTTGCCACCTATCAGATCAGAGTACCATCAGACAACAGATTTATAAGCAGCATAAGGATCATAGTAATATGTGACAGCAACTCACAAACTACCAAAATACTGCCAATTCAAACAATAAAAACAAACTTATGATCCTCAAAGCAATACTCATATAACAAAAACAATCATCTGTAAATAAAACAATTATAGTTTAAGAACCTGCTTTCTCAAATGTATATAAATAAATAATAAAAAAAACAACACCCATCACACGTTGCACATGTCACAACATTCTTTACCTATATCACAACAATCACCATTTGTCTCTACCTACCCTGATGATGACTTAAGAAAGTTGAAAACTTGGGCCATATTTCTTCCGAAATGCATTTTGGATAATTTCTCATGGAATTTCCTCCTTGTCTGAGAAGGATCATTCATAATTTGGAAAAGGTGATCTGTAAAATTCATACAAAATGTGTTTTCTTTAAGTATATTTTATATATATATATATATATATATATATATATATATATATAAAAGCAGGCTGTAGAATAATATACAAAGTGGAAATATTATTCAGCTTTATAGAAGGCAATCTTTAGGTTGGTATGAGAGACCAACCAGTGTGTGCTGGAATTTAAGAAAGAGGTCATCAAAATCCTTATCATATGTTATCTCCAGATTTTTTTTCTACTCTTGTTGAAACTGTAACATCTGCTGGATTTTAATTTGGCTCATTCCAAGTAGAATTTTTTTCTCTCTCTATTACTTGATAAGCTTTCATTGTGCTATGAAAAAACACAATATATATGCTATTAATATACCCCCACCATACATCACTATCAGAACTTGTTAACAGATTAAAGAGGATAAAAAGTGTAATTGATTTAGGAAACTAAGAATCAAAGCCTACTTTACCATTTCTCAGTTGTGTTAATATGCACCAATAAAATTGACAATGATCTATTGAAAATCCCACAAATAAAAACAACTTTATACACTTCTACTCTCATCACAACAATAAAATAAAATCTGGAATAATCATAGGTTTCTACTTAACAATTCTTAGAATCTGTAGGCCCAATTATTGCTCAAGGTAGAAAAATACATTGAAAACACTCTCAAACTCTTCTAAAAACTGAATTATTTCTTGTATAATGCTAAATGAAAAGCCTACAAAATCCACAAAAAGAAAAAAAAAGAAAAATCCACAGATGATAATAATCTTAACAACCTTGACAAAATTAGGCACACAGTTCTACCCACCAACTCCATAACAGCCATCATCGAAAACAACTTATCCAACCTGACTTCATTCTAAGAAAGAACGGTTTTATGGATGAATCATCTGATAAGGATCTTTATTATCTCTTCTCCATATTCCAACACATTTTCTTCACATGGGTTTGTCTCTGATTTTGGCCTGAAGATGCCTACTATAAATGTGAAAGAGCTGAAGCCAGTAGTTTAAATAACTTTTCCACTTTCTCATCATCTCCAAATATATTTAAATATATAATCTGATAAGTTCCAAAGCCACAGATGGGGGAATATAAAGGTAATTTTGGTTTAATATTATCACCTGAGAAATGAACATGCTATCTTTAAAACCTTAATTAAAATTTTAAAAAGTTATCTTCTGTTTGTTTTTTAAAAAGCAATGATTACATTTGGAAT